TTAATTTTAAAAAATATTCATTGAAGAGTGATATTTTTGAAATTGGAACCCAAGCATGGAGATCATTGATATTACTCATTTCATTCACCTTTTTTGGTGAATTTTTCTTAATTAATTTTCTAATAATTGAAATGATAGTGTTCTTATTAATAAATATCTCCATTGCTGGATTTAAAAATTAACAACTGTCAATTTATATAAAATTTACATTATATGTATGTCAATTTATTGTTAAAAATCAACCCAATAAGGTGTTTTTTTTTTTTTTTTTGAATAAATTGTCAAGGAGCAGGCTCGAAATTCGCCCATGAGAAAGGGGGAATGCACTTCAATCTAGCAGACTGGCAGTTGGCTCGAAAGGTTAGGTGCAACCCAATAAGGTGTTTTAATATAATAGAACTTGAGATTTTAAATTAAATGTCTAAATTTGAATCTTAGTACATACAACAGAAGAGAAGAAAAAGCCATGGGAATGATTACAAACGGGGAAGAACGACAGAGGGGAAAGGAAAGTGAATATGGAAAAGGGAAATCAAAGAAATAAGGAAGAGAGAATCAGCAAAATCAACTAGAAAAGGCAGGAATTTTTTAACGGCGATTCTCTGAGGGTGAAAGATGCAAACAAGTTCTGAAGAGAACGCGAGAAAAGTGGTGACTGCTGCGAGTTGGATTCAAATGAGGGGTATAATAGTCAAATACTTAAAAAGGGTGTGGTGTTAACAGTTGTGACTGTGGCAATAGCGCCACCCGCAGGACAGGAAGGATTTAGAGGCAAAAACCTACCTTTAGCCCCTCACCTTACTAAATTTGAAGGTTTTAGCTCCTTATCTTATTCTATAACACTTTAACCCCTTACCTTACTAGATTTGTAGGTTTTAGTCCCCTCACTTATTAAAATAAAAAAATAGCCCTCATTTTATACTAATTGTTAACTCTGCTAGTTGGAAGTAAATTTTTATCAACTAATAGTCAAGTAATAGCCAATTAACATAATTAACGAAATATTATAAAATTAGTTCTGTTGATTTTGTTAGCTAAAAAAAGGTTTTTGATAGCTAACAGTCAACTAACAGTCAGCTAATACAATTAACAGTTAGTTAATAAAATTAACAAAATATTACAAAATGATGGCTATTTTCTTCAATTTTAATAGGTAAGAGGCTAAAAGTGTCATAATATAAGGTGAAGGGTTAAAACTTATAAATCCAGTAAGGTAAGAAATTAAAAATATCATAATATTTGATATGAGGTTAAAATCTTCAAACTTGACAAGATGAGAAGCTAAAAGTAAACTTTTGCCGGATTTAGAAAACTAAAAGGTTGTCATGTTATATAGCCGATCATGTAAAGGAAAATAAAAAAAAAAAAGGAAAGGAAAGAGGTTAAAGACAATCTATTTACAGTAACTACATTTCTTTCATGCAAATTATATATATGTAGTTTAGTATGATTATAATTTTTAATTTTATAAAAATTTTCGTGATTGTTGAAAACTAAATACCGCTAATTTATTCTAGACAAATTCCAACATTGAGAACTAAAAGTATAAACTTGTTTAGTAATATTAAAATTGTTTTTGTTTGTATTCTCTAATAATAATAATAATAATAATATGCTGATATATAAACATGAAACTAAATGAATGTTTAAAGAAAAATTGTAAAATTTATAAAAATTAAAAGTTGAAAACTATAACCATTCTAAAATGGAATATAAGGCTCCAATTGGTATGGTTGCAATTTTTTTTCTTTATCAGTTTTACAGAGGAGGAAGTCAAAACAGCGGTATGGAATTGTGACAGCACCAAAGCACCAGGGCCAGATGAATTCACTTTCGGTTTTATAAAGAACGAATGGGAGGTGATCAAAGCAGATATCATGGAATTCCTCAAGGATTTTCACAGAAATGGAAAACTGGTAAGGGGCTCTAATGCTTCTTTTCTCGTCTTGATACCGAAGACTGAGAATCCCCAAGGTGTGGAGGAGTATCGACCCATCTCTTTAATTGGATGCACTTACAAAATTCTTGCCAAACTGCTAGCAAATAGGCTCAGCAAAGCATTGAACTCAATTATAGGAGAAAATCAATCTGCTTTTATTGAGGGAAGGCAACTTGTAGATGGAGTGGTTGTTGCAAATGAGGCGATTGATGGGGCACGAAAAAGAAAATCCCGATGTTTTATTTTCAAAATTGACTTTAAAAAAGCCTATGATAAGGTGTGCTGGTCCTTCCTTGATTACATGATGGAGAGAATGGGTTTTGATATAGTATGGAGGGGATGGATTGCGGAATGCTTAAAATCAAACACGGTGTCTGTTTTAGTCAACGGAAGTGCTACCAAAGAGTTCTCGATGACAAGAGGGCTTCGACAAGGCGACCCATTATCCCCATTCCTGTTCCTAATGGTGGCAGAAGCTCTAAATGGACTAACTTCCGCAGCTGTTGCAAAGGGACACTTCCGGGGAGTCAAAATAGGAGATGGAGAGTTAGAAATTAGCCATCTTCGGTTCGCGGATGACACACTTTTCATGGGAGAGGCGACTGAAGACAACATTTGGACAGCAAAATGCATAATGAGGGCATTTGAATTGGTGTCAGGGCTGAAGATAAACTACAGAAAAAGCTCTTTAATTGGAGTGAACACAGATGAAGACTGGACCAGAAACATGGCATGGATGTTGAACTGTAAAACCGAATCCCTCCCTTGCAAGTACCTCGGCATGCCACTGGGGGCAAACCCAAAGAGAATATCCACCTAGAAACCTTTATTAGACACATTCAGAAGAAAACTCTCAGCTTGGAAAGGCAGATTTTTATCTCTCGGTGGACGAATTACCCTCATAAACTCTGTGCTATCCAGCCTACCAGTGTTCCTGATGTCGGTATATCTGCTCCCAAAATAGGTAATCCATGAACTTGATAAAATTAGGAGGAATTTTTTGTGGGGAAGGGTTGAGGGAGGCAAAAAGATTGCTTGGGTGTCTTGGGACAGGGTATGCAGCACTAAAAAAGAGGGAGGGCTGGGGGTAAAAAACCTTAGATGGTTTAATATTGCCTTACTAGGCAAATGGTGGGCGAGATTAATAGGGGGCGAGAAGGGCCTTTGGGCGAGGGTGCTGCTAGAAAAATATGGTAGCAAGGAAGGAAATTGGTTATCATGGTTGAGTAAGGATCGGGTCTTAGGATCATCGTGGTGGAATGATATTTGTAAATTAAATACGGGTTTAGATAGCAAGGATGGGTGGTTGCTTTTGAATTTTAATATGAATTTGGGTGAAGGGAAAAATGTGAGATTTTGGCTAGACACATGGGTGGGGGAGGGTTATCTCTGGCTAATGTTTTTCCAAGGCTGTTTTTGTTGGCTACAGAAAAGAATTGCAGTATCCATCAAATGGGACAGTGGAACGAAGGATGCTGGGATTGGAAATTCCAGTGGAGAAGACCACTTAAAGCTTGGGAAGAGGAAAATCTGCAACAATTGCTGGAGACAATAAAACACAAAAAAACTAGTGCAAGGCGCAATGGACACTTGGTGCTGGAGTCTAGAGACCGGGGGAAGATATACCACAAGGACAGCCTATGAGCAGCTAGCAAAGAAAGAAGAAAACAGGTTGCTGGAGTACACAAAAATATGGGAGACGCAAGTACCACCAAAAGTGAGTGCTTTCTCATGGCAACTACTCTTAGATAGAATTCCTACAAAGGTTAATTTAGCAAAGCGTGGAATTTTGGATGCTAATCAAAATATAAAATGCTTTTGGTGTGATAAACTTCTTGAGGATACAGAACATCTTTTCCTAGATTGCAGCATCTCCGACAATTTATAGACAAAATGTCTTAATTGGTGGGGATTATATTATGTCTTAGGGAACACTTGTATTGATGTTTTCACCCAACATAGATGGCACAAGGGACCAAAGAGCCTAAAAAAGGGATGGGGCATGGTATGGTTTACTGTAGTTTGGTCTTTATGGTTAAGCAGAAATGAAACTGCTTTTCAACATATGAAGTTAAATGAGGATAGGTTATTTGAATTAGTTCAAGCACGCTCATTTCACTAGGTTAGAAATCTGTTGAATTTGGAAAATTTCTCCTTAATGGAATGGATTTCTAATCCAGTGAGATGCTTGACAAACAGGACATAGAGGATTGTGGGGAGTATTTGTCTTCTGGGTCCGTTTTTGGACTTGTGGGTGATTTTGTTTTGACCACAATGTCCACATGTAATTTCATGTACTGATGTTTACGGGTTTGAGTACCCCTTATACTCATAATAAAATTCATTGGCTTTTCAAAAAAAAAAAGTTTTACAACTCAAAACCAAAAACTTGTTTACTTTTATATATTTTTATAACATATTATCATAATTATTAAAGAAATAAGAACAAAAACACTGTTAATACTATTAAACAGATATATATATTTTTTGTTGTAAGTGTTAAAACTCGTCTTAAATAATTTTTTAATTTTAATTCTTAATTTCGATTTTCAATAATTGCAAAATTTATGAAAATTAAAACTAAAATCCAAAAAACCACAATAATAATAAAGAAAGCCTAAGTGTTTTAAGTTTTTATAGGAATAATGATAAATAAGATCAAAATTTGGGATCGAAATCTGAAACTAATAATGTGGCATAAACCACATAATTTAAAATATTAAATGATGAATCTTATATTATTTAATGATAAACTCTTTTTGTTTTTTCAAAATGCGTAATATTTTATATATCAACTAATTTAATGATGTAGTATCATTGATCTCAAATTTTCATCCCAAACTTTTGTTTTCCTATCATTGCTCTTTTTAAAGAACCTAATTTTCTATTTTTGAATAGAAGCAGAACGAAACAAAGTACAAATCTGTAATTTCCAAAATTTGTAATTTCCAAACTAGAGTCTTTGTTTATAAACTAGAATTTATAAAATTCTACCATTTTTCTAAAGTTATTTATAATTGTTTACGTATGATCTCAAGATATTAATTACTCGTATACTCTTCAAGTTTAATTGTCATGTTTTTTTTTAATTAAAAGTTTTTAAAATTATTTGTCTCCTTTCTACTTTTATAGTATGATTCAAAGATTTTATTCCTATTTTACATCTATTTTAAGAAAATAACTGCATATATTAAAATAAACTCATTTATTTAAATAGTACTAATAGTTAGGAATAAATATGAAATTTAATTAATTAATTAATATACAAAATTAGGTACTAAATGACATTCTTATTTAATCAAAGAAAAAAAAAAAAGACAACTAGAGCTAAACAAATATAATAATTACATTCTCTTTAAACATATATTATTGGCTTAACTCTTCCTGTAATGTTCAATCTGAATCTTTGAGTAAAATTGCTTCTTAAATTATTAAATAATTATTGACACACAATGAATTGTTGTTTTTTATACACCACCAAATAGAGGAAACATAACATTCTGGACCATCGTAACTTAGTAGCAGCCACCCACCACCCACGAAATCACCTGACATTTAATTCAACCACTTTAATATTGTTCAACTCAATTTGTGTACAATCTAATAGAATGTACTAAAACCATCTTTTTGAAGAAAAACAAAAGGCTAACACGTACCTTTCATTTTTTTCCGATTCTACAATGATTGCCGACAGATAACTTAAAGCACATTGATTCTTCTTATCTTTTGGAGAGAGTAATTGAGTAAAACACATTGATTAGATTAGCTCAAATTGGAAGTTCCGTGTCTCGCCTGTCAACAAACGTAACCCGCATACATGCATGTCAAGCTTGGGGTCCGATGTGAAACTAACCTGAAACTAGAATCTATGGTTGTTTTTTCGGGACAATAATAATGAAAAGAATGAAGAATAAGGGCGATGAATTTACGAGATCAATGATTTGCAGCTT